CAAGCTTAGGGCTACTTGGCAATTCATACCCGGGTCCTCCTTCCTAGCCGGGGTGAGCAGGGCCTGCAGTGAACTGGAAGTGAAAGCAAGCAAGCAAACTGTTCCTGTCCCCCTGGTCTTTTCTTTCCTGATTGGCTCATTGCATTAGTTTTCCTTACCAGGGGGTGGTTTTGCAAAGGTGGTCACCCTAACCCCACTCAAAGAAGGAAATGGCAGTAAGAGCATTCATTTTAGCAGCAGGAAGAAAGGAATGCTTTTCAGCATCCTAATTGCAATAGGAAAGGCTTTTTCTCCCCCTCTGTGAACTGGATAGATTTACTGGTTTTAGCTACTAATTGTATGGGCTTCTGCCTTAACGTTATCAAACGCTCCTTTAAAACATGTTTTATGTCCCCCAGGCTCACTCACTGCCATCTGCCAGAGTTATCACGCAAACATGGGATGATTCCAGATCGGTATGTGATGCCCTGGAAAGGAGACATGAAGAACAGGCACTTTGCTTTAAAGGTAGTAGGGGCAGGAAACCATTTCCTCCTGAGGATAGCTTAATAGAGACCTGATTTTCATAGGTGCTGAACAACTGCAGCTCCATTGGCATGATTTCCAAAGGTCATAGAATCATAGAGAAATAGGGCTGGAAGGGGCCTCCACAGGTCATCTAGTCCAGCATTTCTCAACCCATGGGTTGCAAGAATACATGAAAGAGCTGCAAGGAATCTTTAAAAATGGATTCTTCTTTAAAGGAGAAAAGTGTAGGAAACCATGGCTTTCCCATTGCAGGCTGGCAGAGTTCCAGCCTGCAAGGAGCTGCTTGGGACCCGCCGTGTCCCACATACCCCCCCACCCATCCCTTCCCCACGCAGTGGGAGCTGGGGCCTAGGGGCAGGGGACAGCAGGTCAGGAGTGAGGGGCACTGGGTCGGGGCTAACCATCAATGTTTATAACTTGGTCCCATTACAAAAAAAGGTTGAGAACCACTGATTTTAGTCTAGCCCCTGCCTGAGGGAGGATCATCCTTATCCAAACCATCCCATACAAGCCATCCTCTAAACTCTACATAAGCAGAGTTGCCAACTGATGATTTTTGGCATTGTTCTTAAAGTCTACGCCTTGGAAATGTGAAAAAGTAGCACTTTCTTGTATATATATTTATATACATATATAAAAGAAAGAGCTAATTTTTTAATATTCCCAAAGCGTAGACTTTGAGAACAATGCTAAAGATCACGAGAGTTGGCAATATTGCAAAAGATCAGGCCAGGCAAGTCTTGTCTATATTAGTGAATTAGCTTTTTACTCTAAAATTTTTGACATCTGAAACAGTCCTCTTCTGTTGTGAATTCTCAACTTTTGACTATATACCTCCTGAGAAATCTCACCCCCCCCAGCCATTTTCTTCCTTAGCCATGAGCCCTCTGCCCCTGTTATTTAATTTGGTAAAAGCATTCCAGAAGCGCTTACTGAAAGTGCAACACAAAATGAAATCACATAAGCAGAGTTAAGGAAATTCCTAGCCAAATTAAACTGATTGATGAGACCAATGGAAGGCAATTTGAATAGAGAGCCAGTGGACCACTTGGAAGATGAGAAAAATCTGATGGAGCTTCTGTGTATTTGTGAGAAAGTGGGCAGCAGTATTCTCATTTTCCCAAAATAATAGAGCCTGCCGATGTATGTCAAGGAAAAGCCTCCTAATTAGAAGAGACTATAGCAGAGCTGAAGTGGCAGCTGTGGTGTAATTAGCTAATGTTGTGAAAACAGTGATGGGTTGGTCTGCAGATGTAAGAGGCACGAAAAAGGATATTTGTAGGAAATGATGGTGTCAGTATTAGGGACTGGAGAGACAAATGGGAGTTCTGACTTGAGAGACTAAGGGAAGGACATGGAAACATGTTTAAAGTATCTTTTCTTTTTGCTCTGGAAAGGCCATGACTGCCTAAGACAGCTGTAGAACTCAAGTCTAGTTCATAGCCTGGGGAGTTGGAGATGTAGATTCACATCTTTTCCGACTGTGAAAGGCCTAGAATACAGGTCTCCAACTTCCTGGATGACAGGTGTATCCACTAGGTTATTATGTATAACCACGTGTATGCCACTATCACCACCCCTTCTTGATTTTTAATGAATGTGGCTGTGAGTGCTGAACTCAAAGCAGTTAAATCCTACTGGATCAGGCTGCTGAGGGGATTTTGGTACAAGGGGGGGGGTGTATAATTTGTGCATCCCAGATCACCTTAGGCAGATGACAGATGCCTAAACATCTGTCTGTGCTAAGATGGTGGCCTCTCAAGGTATGCAGAGCAGCCGCACTACGTGCCAAGTAAATTTTCCGGCAAAAAATTAGGCATCTGTGGCATCTTTGCCTAAGCACTGAAAGTAAGGTTTCTGTTACTTGTGCTGTTGGGCTTCAGCACCTAAAACTACGAAGTCCCATTTTAGTCTCCTCAGTTTCTTTGTGAATCTCACCTCTGACACATGATCCAGACATGCTTAGCATGCAGCAAGAAATAGAGATGCATATAGCAGTCAAAAAAATTGTGAATGATTATATATGTGTGTGTTTGTGCGCGCGGAGTCTCCCAATGCCTGAAGAAGGGTGTTTGTGTCCGAAAGCTTGCAAAGAACTTTTTTTCTAACTGTTTAGTTTGTCTAATAAAAGATATCGCATCTACGCAAAGAACCTTGCCTGCCTGTGTGTAGGAAGTAGACAGGCAAATGTTGCTTCTGTGTACAGATAATTTTGAACCTCAATTCTAGTGTGCATTTGCCTGAAGAAAATGGTGGGGTTTGTACACCAATATACTGCTGTTGAGCTTATATGCTTATGGGAGAATTATTTGAAAATTTGTCTTAGGTGTTTTTTATATGTAACCATCTATATTTGCTTTAATTCTTGCTTAGTGTTGTTTTCCTCTATTTCTTTTGAGCCATCAGTTAATACTTTGTTCTCCCATCAGTGAGCGTTTTCAGGTAAACAGTACAATTATTTAAAGGGCTACTTAAGACAAAAGCAGACACCAGCCATAACCATTGGAATTTCTTTCCTCAGCACGCAAAGCTTGCTGGGATATATTCTGGAGCAGTGGAAGATAGTCTGTTTTTGGAGCATAGGGAACGACATTGCCATGGAGAAGACCGTAAACTCCTCTGGAAGAAAATTTCTTATGAAATGGTGATTCAGGATGTTCCTTTGCATTGTCCGCTCTCCAGATACCAGAAGTCTGCAATTGCTCATGCATGCCGGAGGAAACTCTGATCTGTCTTTTTTCATTTGTTTCAGTCAGGTTGGAACTGTGTAGGCCATGAGGTTTAAATCTGCTGCAAAAAAAACCCCAACATGCTGTCAGTGCAATTTTTTCTTCAAAGTAGAATTAACATTTTAAAATAGATTAGATATTCTCTTTGAAATGCCAGGTTGTACCAGCCTGAAATTTGACCTGCTTAGGCCCATAGAAAATTTTGACTTCAGCGTATATTTTATCAAAAGCATGTAGACCAGTGCTTCCCAAACTTTTCCTCAGCATGACCCCATTTATGACCCCATTTCCTCAGCATGGCCCCTCACTTCCAACCCACAGCCCCCACCCCCAGCATCACCCAAGCCCTGGCTGCCACCCGTGGGAGGCAGCAGCTACTGTGGCCAGAGCAGAGCATGGAGCCTGGCTCCACCCACCCGCGGGTGGCATGGCTGCTCACTGCAGACTTCAGGCTCCTTGCCCTTCTGCCCTCCCCCTGGGGCTCCACAGCCTAGCATACGGAGCTGGTTTGGCCCTGCTACAGCCCTGTGCCATGCTGTAGGTGCAGAAATCTCAGGGGGGCACATGCCATGTCACCTTGACCCTTCTGCCCCCCTCCACCCACCGCATTGCTTGTGCTCTCCCTGCTCCTCCAGTGTGTCACCTGTGCCCTCTCCCCCCGCCCCTATAGATTTACCTGGAGGGAGCTGTGGGAGCTGCTCTCCACCTCCGCTTGGCTGACATGTGCATGTGCCCCTGCCTCCAATCACCCTCCCCTGCTCTCCCCCAGCCCCAAGCAGCCCCTTGCAGGCTGGAACTCTGCCAGCCTGCAAAGGGAAACCCACATTTTCCTGCATTTTTTTCCTTTAAAGGAGAAAATCCACATTTTCTCTGTTAAAGGAGGCAATCCACATTTTTTCCACAATGAATAAATAACCTGGATCCCTGTTTATCACGACCCTATCTGCTGATGTTGCGACTTCATTTGGGTTCATGACCCATACTTTGGGAACTGCTGATATAGACATTTAGATACTTACCTTCAGTTTAAGTAAACCATCCTACCATATGCAGTTTTCCTTTGCCAACTTCAAGATTTTGGGTACTTAACCCCAGCCCTTATTCTCCATGGTCTTCTTGGAGAGAATCTACTATGTTGCCAATGTCATTTGAGGCTGAATAACTAACCTGCTGTCCTCTCATTGTTCTTCAAGGGGTCACTGGCTGACCCACTGCATCCTTCCCCTTGTTTAGGTGATAGGTAAGGTAGCTTCTAAAAGGAAGGTAACAAACCTTCCATAGACTAGCAAATGTGGCAGAAGACCAGCTTGGCTTAGTAATGAACTCGTCAGTAAACTAAATCCCCAAAAGGAAGCTTATAAGAAGTGGAAGCTTGGACAAATAACTAGGGAAGAATATAAGAGCATTGTTCAGGCATGCAATGATGAAGTCAGGAAGGCCAAAACACAAGTAGAGGCCATGAGGTTTAAATACCAAGGGATGTAAAGGGTAACAGGAAGGCTTTCTACAAGTATGTTGATAGCAAGGAGAGGATCAGAAAAAGTGTGGGACCCTTGCTGAATGGGGGAGGCAAACTTGTGACAGAGGATGCAGAAAAGGCTAAAGTGCTCAATGCCTATTTCTCCTCAGTCTTCACAGGCAAGGTCAGCTCCCAAACTACTGTACCTGGCAGCATAATTTGGGAGAAGGTGACCAGCCAGCAGTGACAAAAGAACAGGTATGGGACTATTTAGAAAAGCTGGTTATATACAAGTCTATGGGGCTCAATGAGATGCACCTGAGGGAGTTGGCTGATGTGTTTGCAGAGCCACTGGCCATCATCTTTGAAAACTCATGGTAATCAGGAGAGGCCCCAGATGATTGGAAAAGGGCAAACATAGTGCCCATATTTAAAACAGGGAAAAAGGAGGATCAAAGGAACTACAGACCAGTCAGCCTCACGTCAGTCCCTGGAAAAATAATGGAGCAGATCCTCAAGGAATCTATTTCTAAGCACTTGGAGGGGGAAAAGGTTATTAGGAACAGTTGGCACCAGGGGCAAGTTGTGCCCGAGTAATCTGATTGCCTTCTATGATGAGGTGATTGGCTCTGTGGATGCGGGGAGACTGGTGGACGTGGTGTACCTTGATTTTAGCAAGCCTTTTGATACAATCGCCCACAATATTCGCACAGGCAAGATAAGGAAGTATGGGCTGTATGAATAGACTGTAAGGTGGATAGAAAATTGGCTGGAGCATCGGGCTCAGAGAACAGTAATCAATGGCTCGATGTCTAGTTGGGAGCCAGTATCAAATGGAATGCCCCAGGGGGCAATCCTGGAGCAGGGTTTGTTCAATATCTTCATTAACGACCTGAAAGACGGCATACAGTGCAGCCTCAGCAAGTTTGCAGATAACACCAGCTGTGGGGAGTAGTAGATATGCTGGAGGATACGGCTAGGATTCAAAGTGACCTAGACAAATTGGAGGATTGGGCCAAAAGGAATCTTATGAGATTCAACCAGGACAAGTGCAAAGTCCTGCACTTCGGACAGAACAATCCCATGCACCAGTACAGGCTGGGGGCTAACTGGTTGGACAGTAGCTCTACAGAAATGGACCTGGGGTTTACAGTGGACAATAAGCTGAATATGAGCCAGAAGTGTGCCCTAGTTGCCAAGAAGGCTAATGGCATACTGGGCTGCATTGGTAGAAAAAATTAATCGTGGTTTACATTTGAAAGCTGCTCAGCATTTATTAAAGTTCTGGGATATATAGAAAGAGCTTTTCCATAACAAATATATTTTACAACCACTTAAAGCAAGACAATTAGGTTCCTACTTGGTATTTTATATGATAATACCTTTTTTTTTTTTAATAAATACACCAAAACTTAACTTTAAAATGTATTCTCTTTATAGAGTGCTCTCTTCCAAATAGTTATTATTCTGTGTTCTGGGCTGAAGAGGGTTCATTCCCAACTAGTAGATGAAAAGCAAAGGAGCTGTCTTCAAAGTAATAAGCCCTTACGAGTCATAAGTAAAATTGCCATGGAAACAAATGAGCAAAAGGGCCTAAAGAATATTTTTATTCATAATTAATGTGTTCTCAGTATTATGAGTCGAGAAATATTAATCACAACAATAGTGCTTTTCCCTAAGTGGTCCCAAATCTAAAATATTTGCGTTTATATTTCTTTAGAAGAAAAATGTAACATTACAATTTTACTGCTTATGACTGTTCCCTTCAGAGCAAGGGTAGTTGTGGATAAATCTCCAGCTGACATAAATCTCTTTCACCGATACAGAAATAAAAATATGAAGCCAGAAAGAATGGAGGAGTTAATAACCCTATTACTGCAACATACAGAGGCATTTAAAAAGGCTTGCAGCTACATAGGGGGAGATTTTCTATGAAGTATATACTGTGCTGGGCTGCATAAATGATTCTACACTGCTGCCTGGCAATCCTTGGCATAGAGGGTCACACAAGAGAGGACGGGGCCAGGCATGTTGATAATACTGTGGGCATTCTTAGCAGCAGTGCTGCTCTTAGCCAGCCCAGGATGGGCTGCTATAACTTAGATCATCCCCACAGCATGCCAGAGTTATGTCAAATGTGACTTCAATAGCATGTCAGCCCCCGAAGCCACCAGATTCAGAAAGATGTATAGTATTTCTGTCTTTCACATAAGTGACCTGGGTTCAGTTCCCCAATGGGGCCAAATGCAACTCACAGTCGCTCAGTATTGCACTGCCTTGTTCTCATGGTAATTGCATCATATATTGAGGTTAATGACCAACTACAGCATTGGCTTGATGAGCTTGTCTTTGAGTTTAGGCAGTATTTACTGTCTCGTGCTGCAAGAGCAGGAAGTCTTGGTTTCCAACAATAGACCAAGCATTACAGCTGAGAGAGAGCTGAAAGCTACCATTATCCTCCTTCCCTCAGGCTACTTGTTCTATGCTAGGCCTCAAGAATCTCACCCCAGAAACTCATCCTATAGGAATTCATCACAGCATCATTTTGTTACATTGCGGTGTCCATTAAAAGTCTCTCTTTTCAGTGTTTGTAACCAGAAACAATCCATGCCTACTCCTGGCTCCAAAAGCTATTTCTTGGCATGGAAATATTGATAAAATTCTCTATAGCTATTGCTGAAATATACAAGCATGGAGGGGAAAAAAGCATCTGCATTGACCAGTTCTATTTTTTTCAGATGCTCAAGAGTGGCTTCTTGCAGCTTAAAATCTTGACATTTTTTTTTAATACATCAAAACTCCAGATAGTGAAATATGAGGATATTTCATAGTGTGTGAGAACAGGCAACTACTTTCAGCAAAGTATGGCAGAGCTGCTCACCCCAACTAAATCAGTGCTGCATAATATGCTCACATATACTTTAAACTGGTTAAGACACAACAGCCCAGTATCTGATGGTTCCAAACTACAGCTACTTTGGAAAAGGAGCCCAGTGAGACTGGGACTGGGACTCAGCAGACTGGAGAGAAAGAATCTGTCTTCTTGTTGGAGAGGGAGCTTGTGGGAGCGGAACTAGACAGGGATTAGGAGTCAGAGTGATGCTGGATGGGAGGTTGGGACTATTTGGACAAGAAGAATGAGACAACCCATTAGAGAGTTTGAAACTGGGAGAAACCAGGGAAAGACATGGAACCAGCTGGAGAGACACAAAGATTAGATGAGTGTCTACAGGGGGAAGATGATACTGGGACTTACTGGACAAGAAAACTGGAAACCAGACAGTTACGACAAGAAGCTAGGATGCATGGGGAGGACGGCAATGAGGCAAGGAGCCTGCTAAATGAAGGATGACAAGAGGGGAGAGGCAGGTCAAATGAGTAAGGAACTGGGACTGGTTGGGCAAGAAAACTGGGCATTTCATGGGAAAAGACAATGAGTGGAGAGTTCAGAGTCCTGATTGAGAGACAAGGGTTAGGTGGGCAAGGTAACTATGACAGGGGAAAGAAGAGTGGGGGTAGAGATGGGAAGTGATGGGAACAGGTGAAGAGAATGGTACTGGGATGAGAATCAGCAGGAGCAGACTGGACTAATAAAAGGATAAAATGGAGGAGACAGAAACCTTCAGGCTCAGGGCCAGAATAGCTGCAACTACCAGCCTCCACTTGAACAGAGCACACTCCTTTCCAACACTTAGAATGGAACTCAGGATTCCTGCATCTAACCATTCTCCTCCTATAGCCAATAAAACTGGGAAACCCACTGGGAAAGACTGTGAAGATGTGCTTGCAATGGTCCTGTCCAGCTCAGGTTGGTCATATAGTCCTAGAAGGGAACAGCTATAGGTGCTCCATCAGCTAA